GCGGGTAAGCCCGTGCTTGGCAGTGCCAATGAGCAGGTCTCGGTCATGCTTCCCACACTCCCACCAGACTGGGAGGTAGAGGCTGGGCCTGCACAGCTGGAGGCGCTCGTGTAACTGAGGACACCTGAGCACCTGCTCGCGGACCTTCCTCAACAGCTCGATGCGGTACAGAGTTCGTGCGGCTCGCTCCTCGGTGATGGGCTCCACATAAATGGTGGCATCTGCAGGACCTAGAGAGAAAGGGAGACACAGAGCCTACCACTTAAGATGGTCCTTGATATTCCCAGCATCCTGATTCTTAAGAGTTTAATTCCCTGGCTCTTCAGCATAGCGGGTTTAGGTGTAATGCTAAAATAGGAAACCAAGAGGAATGGAAAGTTTTTGTTTTTGTTTTCTGTTAGAGAGTAAGTGTGATCCCCAGACAGAGAAGGAGAAGAAAAAGCATCTCTCAAAATGAATGCTCATGCAACAATCCCTTCTCTTTCATTTCTCTCTCCTTTAGGGATATTGGGTACATACACACACACGCACATGTGCCTGGAATGCTTTCAAGCTGCCAGGCCTAGGATTTGAACTGCATAGTTGGTCATGAGTGCTGACTGCCTTAACCACCAGGGCACAGAGCTGGTCTGGGAATGAAAGATTTTTATGAAAAAAGGGCAGACCCAATGAGGTAAAAGAAGGGCATTAAAACATTGGTTCTAGAAATCTTTCCAATATATCCAGCTCCCTGGCCTGAATGAAACACTTTAACCATGCCACATGGGGCAGAGGACAAAGGTTAAATGTCTGTGCATGCTGCCATCAGCCTGGAATCCATGCTTGGTAACCTCAAAGTTTGTTTTAGCTTTCTTAAAATATGGTCACATGGTCCAGAGCAAGTGTGTCTGCAAATATGAAGCTCAAGTGGAACCTGGAGGAAGTTGCTCCACATTCTAACCAGGAGGAAATTTCTTAGATAAGCCTGCCATTGGATTGTGGGATTTTAAGTGACATTTACCTTCTACAGTTATAGGTCAGCATATGAGAAAAAAATTTAATGTTACTAATGTTACTGAGCTTAATCTAAGGAAGGTGTAAAAATCAGAGTCCAAAAAATTTTGATGTGACTTAAACAAAAAATAAAACTCTCCTTTGGAAAAAGTTAGTATTTCGGTGATATTTTAATCTGAATTTTGACATTTGCTGGAGTTATATCATTTTGGGAGAGAGATTTTATTTTATGAGGGCAGGCACAATTAGATTTTTTTTTTTTTTGAGGGTAGGGAGAGATTTTTACTATAGGGCATGTGCACTCACTGGAGAGACAGAGGCAGAAAGTGAGAAATCACACCCCTGGGGGGATGGCCACAATACAATTCCTTCTCCTCTACTCTCCTCCTGGGATTTTCTAGGCATGCATGCACATGTGCCCAGCGTGAGTTTCAAGCCGCCAGGTCCAGGACTCGAACTGCTGTCAGCCACGTAGAAGTCCAGTCCGGTAACACTATACCACTGTTAGCCCATAAGTGAATTTTTAAAGACCTATTTGTCTTTACCCAAATTCCTCAGCTAGACTTTACCATTATAATTATACCTAAAGTAACTCTGATTTGAGCACCATCATGGTTTCTCCTGTTTTCATCTGACAATACTGACAGAGTTGTCTCACCGCCATCTTTCCGTGCAGGCAGACGACAGACGTTCCGGCACATGGCCACGAAACTGTAAAAATAGTGTTCTAGGCTCTCATCCGATTTCTTGTCCAAACGGGAAATGATGCGGAACTGTGTCCAGTCAAAGATTTTCTTTTCTTGATCATAAACAACACCAAAGGAAGAAACTGTTCTATAGAAGTCTGCCTGCTCTCTCCGAGTCCACCTTGAGATTTAATCAGAAAGGAGAATTGTTTATTTCTTTTCTTTTTTAAAAAGTTGACAACTATTATTAAACACATACTATGAGAGCCCTTTAAACTAAGCCCAAAGGGCTGATTTGTCTATTTTATTGTTAATTTTTTAAAAGTTAATTTGGGCTAAGAGGCTTAGAACAAAAACAGTCAATATCATCTTCCTCCTGAAAAGGTAAATACCTTCAAATCTTTCAGCTCATTCTTCTACTATTTACTGCCCTACTTCTAATTCATGTGTGCATACTTTGCTAGCTCTTGATTAATCAATTTGAGGAATTACCTAGTTAACTTCTGCTTGTAGGAGATAAAGACTCTTAAAATACTTATGTACAGTTATATTTTTCCTTATTTCCCCCATCTAACAACATAAAGTCACAGACTTCAGGAAAGACTTTCCATGAAATTTTACCCCTTCATCTTATAGCTAAGGAAACTAATACCTGGAAGGGAGCACCTGCTTAGCCTGCACAGCCCACCCCCAACCCTACATCTCACTTTCTTCCTGGCTTTATGTAGGTGAGTTCCCCCAACAGAAGTCTTCTCTAGGACACAAAGGTCTTCTAGTCCTTACATCTTATAGGATTAAGGTAAGACTTAAGGGAGCTGGATACTTATATACCACTATGATCTTTATGAGGGGTCCTTGGGCATGGTACTCTCTATCCCTGGGGGAACTGGCCAGGAATGGAGCAGGGTTGAGTCAGTGGAAAAGCACGAGGTAGTGAAGAAGGGGCTCTGGTTCTTTTCTTTGGAACTGTGCAAGATGGGTAAATATTTTCCTGAATTACCAAATTTCTTGAAGTTGAAAAGGAGCACAGAGAAGTAACTGAATTTGTTATGTGATATTAAATCACTGGGTGTTAAGAGAGAAGAAAATTCTAAGTATTGCAGCTTTGTTGGTATTTTCCAGTGGCATCATTCCTAGCCTCCATGTGCCAGCCTTTTGTAGTTTTTAAAAGTTTAATTCCCAAATAGGCAAGTAACAAACTTGACAACTTGTACCTCCCTTCTGGACTTGCATTTTATGGTATTATTGCTCTCAAAGGCTTGATAAGGACTCGTAGCTATCCTAAGACAGCTTCAATGCTCACTATTTTCTTTGTGATTAAAGGGGTTAGAAATGGCCCAATATAGGCCAGTGTGGTGTTTTAAATCCATACCCTCAGAACCTGTGGACTGACCTAGAGAAGAACATAAAGTTTGAAAATTGTTAAAAGTCAGAACCGTGAACAGTCCTAGACCTCATCAGACTCCCCGGTCACCAGGACAATGCCATCACATTGGAGGTTGGGGTTACTAAACTTTATTGACAACCTAACATCATGAGAGAACACAAATACACTTGCCCTCCAGCCACCAGCTTTACCTTTGGTCACCTTTACCCAGCTCAGCATGCCCTTTTGGCCACTGGCTTTTACCTCTTTTGGGCTTCCTTGTTGATGAGGTCCATTTCTGAGGCTCTCCTGAACATCTCTTCCTGAACCCAGTATCCTTGGTTACCTGGTCCCAGAACTTCAGGTCGGCAGAGCTCCTTGCGGTTGCAGCGCTGGTAAACAGTGACCAGACGTCTGAGACGAGCTGTGAGAGCGGACGAAACTGGCCAGGGTGATTTGTCTGGGTCAGAGCCATCCTGGGCTTCAAACATCAGTGAGGATATTAGTATTCACAAACAGAATTAAAACAAGGGGGACTGTTTTGGGTTTTGTTTAAATAAACAAAGATGACTCAATAACTTGAAGTCGTTACTGCTGTAATAATGGCCTAGGAGCTGGCACAGCTGGGAGGGCTGCAATTTGGCTTTACAAACAGCCTGGGGTTTGTAAAGCTGTGGTTGGCTTTGTTATCTCTCAAATACAGAGTGCGGACCTGACTTCAGGATCTTGCTCTAAGTACAGGAATAACAGACCCTTTTTGCTGTTCTCATCATATAAAACTACAGGCTGGCCCTTTCACTTGCCAAAGCCTCTGTTAAGCCTGAATTCAGAAAACATGAGAAGGAAAAAAATCCAAAACTCTTAACTTAAAAAACAAACAAAAAACCCACCAACAAAACACAATGCAATTGTAATTCCTTTTTACTTCTCAAACCCCATCCTAACTTAAGATATCATCATTTATTTCAGTTGAATTTTAATGCCATGTGGAAGAAAGAAACCAGACTCATACTAAAGCCCCAGATTCGACTCCAGAAGAGTTCAATGAAGATCAACTTACTTGGCTTTTAAAAAGAACCTCCTTAAAAAATAGAGTTTTTATTACATATTAACTCCAGGATAACTACAAGCTGGGACCTTACTTTTCTTTGCCTTCAGAAGGACACAGTCTCACCTGCCCGGCTGTCATCCTTCTTTTCACCGAAGATGCCATCACCGCCATCGCCAGAACTTTCCTAGGGATAAATGAAGCCATGCCAATAATAAAAACGCAGCTCAGAGAAACCAGCCCAGTCAGGCCCTTCACAGAAGGAATAAGCATGCACGAGAGACCTTTCTGCCCAAAGTCTCAAATACCAGGATGGTACCTGATAAACAAAGTGTATTTATGCCCAGTCTTAAAAGAGTCAGAAGGCAATTTATTTAAAATAAGCATTTCCCCTGCCTGGAGCCACGTGGAATGATTCTGTCTGTAGAGAATCAGCTTAAGGAATGAACTGGCATGTTGTACTGGAAATTACATTTTACAAATACTGTTTTAGCTGTGAATTTAAATATTTGTTACTACACCATCATCACTTGCAATTTAATGTTGTCATTTCATGAGGTCTGTGCCTGAGTTTTTGTTTTCTGCTGTGAAAAAGTGTCATGCTCATGCTCACTATGGTTAGCTTTACTTCCCAGCAACAGACACTATTTTCATAAAACATGACTGCTCCAGACATGAGGCCTGACAGTGCAAAACCCCAGGAATTTAAAATTAAAATCATGATTTGAGGCTCCAAGTAAATCTGGAGTAATCTCACAGGCACAGAGCTTGTCCAAGGAGGAGTATTTGTCAGATGGGTCTCCTGGACTCCTTTATGAACCCTGTCTTGGCCTCAGGAACAGGACTAAAAGCTTGTGGGAGAGTTTAGGAGCTCAACTCAGTTTTCAACTGAACTCCATTTTAAACAGCATTAAAACTTCCTGATTCTTTTGACCTGAATGATGGCATAGAACCATCTCAGGATTTAAGATTTTGCCATGCCAGAGAACAAGATCAAAGAAAATAAGATTTGGCAAACTGTGGCTGTAGGTTATTGCTATGTAGCCCTCAAGCAAAGAATGGTTCTTCTATCTTTAAAGAGTTTTAAAAAAGGAGGAAGAATGCGAGACCAAGACTTATATGTGGCCCCCAAGCCAAAGATATTTACTATCTGGTCCTCAACAGAAAATGCTTGCTGTCCCTCTACTGGAACACGCAGCAAAGGTGACCAGTAACCCAATACAGCAGGAAGACACAGACACCTATGACTGCCAATAGTCAGAATTCAAAACACTCTCACAGGCCTCTGATACCACTGACGGACATGGAAGAAAACTCAGAGACAGTAAAGAGGAATGGCCCTTTTTCTGAATGTATTTCTCTCTTATGTTGAATAGTGATAATACCTAACATTACTGAGAACTCTGCTAAGCACTGTGCATTTTTTTCCCTGCATTAATTCTGCAGATATTTTTTATAAATGTGTGCCTGGCTCCATACCAGACACTGGAACACAAGAGGGCAGGTAGGGGCTGCCCTTACAGTGCAAAGTGTAAGCTACAAGGGATCTACCTTATCTAGTCTACTGTCCTTTTAAAACCCTTTCCATAGCTTATCTTATTTAGTTATTAGACTGCTTATAAGATAGAAGTGACCATGATTCTCACTTTACAGGTGCAGAAAACTGCCCTCAGAAAAGCTCAGTAATGTGAGCTTGCAATAGCGGACCTGGGATTCTAACACAGGCAGTCTCATTTCAGAGTCAACTCTTTCAACTACCCAAGCTACCTAAAAAGGGGCAACAAGACAGTCCCAGATAAAAATTTGTTCTGGAGAGTGAAACATATTTGGAATCAGAAAATACTAGCTAATAGCCTTTCTCTGAGTCAGAATTATCCTGCCATGTAGGTTGACCATTTGTACCATTTGGAAGTGGCACTTACATATGCCATCTCAACCTATATTAGCATTTAGATAAAGAACAAACAATAAACAACCTACTATGCCTTAGACACTTTTCTGCCAGAGAGAACCTTTCGGATATCTCCATTGTATTCACAAATGATGAAATTCACTAGGTGAGAAATGTCTGATAGCTTATGAAATATGGGTGGCAGGCCCTGGAGCCACCATGCTCCTTATGATGTACTGCTGGCTGGTATGGGCATCATCCTACCCAAATCTGCAGGTGCAGGTCCCAGCCTGGTGCAACATAGGCACATGGCCCATGCAGGGCTCCCTTCTAATCTGTTGGGGCACAGCTAGCAATCACAAGAGTTTTAGGTAAAACTCAAGTAATGCAAGTTTTACTATTTGCAAGTGCCCTCTTCTGTATCCTAACTTTTCTTGGAGGTACTTCTCTCTCTAGAAATGATAGATTGAAGAAGACCTAGCTTGTTGGTCACTCAGGTTAACTAGATAAACGTGTGTGATGTGCTGCAGCAGTGAGATTCCCGGGGAGCTGGACAGTTGTGGGCACAAAGAGGGTCTTGCATCTGAACTGTGCAGTTTAACACTTAGTGTCACGTTTCTGCTTTCAGGAATCAAACTGAAAGAAACATTCATTAGAAGAGGTATAAATCGAGGTCAGTAAGTGGCATGACGGTTTAGGCACTGGACTCCCACATGGTTGACCATGGTTCAAGTTCCAGACCTTGCAGCTTGAAAACCACGCCAGGTGTGTCTGTGCACGTATGAATGTGTGCTTGGAAACGGGGAGGAGAGTGGAGGAGAGATTGTGGCATGGTCATCCCTATGGGGGTGATTTCTCATTCTTCCTCTCTGTCTCTCTGAGGAGTATACTCGCCCTGTGGCAAAAACCTGGGGGGGGCTATAAATCAGTCACGTCAGAGTGAAGGTCCCCAGATAGTGCTGCTGATGACAAGAATGCCAACAACAAAGGACATCACTTGGTTACAACATGCCATTTTTCCATCTTGAGGACACATGTGGAGTCTGAGAGTCCACTACTCTCTGGCCTTGGGTATTGTTTTGATCTCTCTCAAGCTCATTTTGTTCTTTTCAAAATAGAAATGATAATACCTACCCTACTTTACAAGGTGATTGTGGAAAACAATGAGTAGATGTATGTAGCATTCCATGGTTCAAGTTCCAGACCTTGCAGCTTGAAAACCACGCCAGGTGTGTCTGTGCACGTATGAATGTGTGCTTGGAAACGGGGAGGAGAGTGGAGGAGAGATTGTGGCATGGTCATCCCTATGGGGGTGATTTCTCATTCTTCCTCTCTGTCTCTCTGAGGAGTATACTCGCCCTGTGGCAAAAACCTGGGGGGGGCTATAAATCAGTCACGTCAGAGTGAAGGTCCCCAGATAGTGCTGCTGATGACAAGAATGCCAACAACAAAGGACATCACTTGGTTACAACATGCCATTTTTCCATCTTGAGGACACATGTGGAGTCTGAGAGTCCACTACTCTCTGGCCTTGGGTATTGTTTTGATCTCTCTCAAGCTCATTTTGTTCTTTTCAAAATAGAAATGATAATACCTACCCTACTTTACAAGGTGATTGTGGAAAACAATGAGTAGATGTATGTAGCATTCAATCAAAGGCTGGCACAAAGCAAACACCCATCAAATAGTAGCTAAGACTGGGGAAATCTGACAAACAGTCCCAACTATTAGATAATCACTTAAGATTTCTTTCCTTTATTGAGTTTTTTTTTTTTGGGGGGGGAGAGGTTTTTGCTATAGGGTGTGTGCGCTCGCCAGACAGAGAGAGACAGAGAGACAGAAAGCGAGAAATCACTCCCCCAGGGGGGGATGGTAAAGCCACAATCCCTTCTCCTCCATTCTCCTCTCGGGATCTTGGGCACGCATGCACACGTGCCCGGCGTGAGTTTTAAGTCACCGGGTCCGGGACGTGAACGGCGGTCGACTACATGAGAGTTCAGTGAAATAGCCATTACGCTAACTGCTGGTTCCCTTGAGTTATTTTTTTAGAGAGATTTTTTTTTTTTGGGCGATAGGGCAGACGTATGCACTCGCCGGAGAGACAGAAGGCAAGAAATCACCTTCCAGAGGGGATGCCCACTCTGCAATCCCTTCTCTTTTCTCCCCTCAAGATTTTGAACATGCACACATATGTGCTTGGTGTGAGTTTTAAGATCCTGGGTCTGGGACTTCTTTTTTCAAGATTCCTTTTTTTGGAGAGAGTTTTGCTATATGGTGCAAGCTATTTAGATAAAGGGGATCTCTCTGTAGTGTACGTAACAACTGTCTCTGCAAACTAAAAATACCTCAAAATAAAAACTTCCACTAGAATTAATGCAATATGGTCTACATCCTTGAAAATTTCACAATAAAATGTTGGGAAATCACCCCCCAAAGGGGGATGGCTATGTTGTAATCCCTTCTCCATTCTCCTCTCAGGAATTTTCTTTTTTTTGGAGAGGTTTTTGCTATAGGGCGCGTGTGCTTGCCAGAAATACAGAGAGAGACAGAGAGACAGAAAGTGAGAAATCACCCCCAGGGGGGATGGCCACGCCACAATCCCTTCTCCTCCTTTCTCCTCTCAGGATCTTGGGCACACATGCACACACTCCTGGCATGAATTTAAGCCACCGGGTCTGGGACTCGAACCCCGTTGACTACATGGGAGTCCAGTGACATAGCCATTACACTAACTGCTGGTCCCTCCTCTCAAGATTTTGTGCACACACGCACATGTGCCTGGCATAAGTTTGAAGCTGCCAGGTCTAGGACCTGAACTGCAGTCAACTAGGTGGGAGTCCAGCAATGTAACCATTATGCCACCTGCTGGTCCCAAGATTTCTATTTTCCAAGGTGTGTACTCCAAGGAAGGCTTCATAAATACAATAAAATACTAGCAGTAACAAAGGTCTACTGAGCCCATAGGTATTAGGCTGGGGACTTAATGCACATTCCCCCACCCCCATTAACTGAGTGTAACAACTTGTAGCAGACAGGAGGAAATTGCAGAATGGGGAGGTTGATGATTTTGTTCAAGATTATACAAAGTTATTCAGTGGTGAAGATGGAATGCAAAGGTAAAGGATTTGAACTCAACCACTATGCCTTTGACAGGCAGAAGAAACACTGGGTTGAATCAAAACCACTGCCAGTAACTAACAGTAACTCTACTACATGTTAATTCCCCACAGGGGGCGAAGACTGAATGGAAGTGGATCTAAGATAACAACATAATGCAGCTTCGTGATCATGGAGATGTCCCCTATCTTGACTACCAATGTCAATACTCTGGTTGGGATAGCTTACTATAATTGTGCAAAATGTTACTAGGGGAGAAAATATTTAGATAAAAGGGATTGCTCTGTATTGTATTTTACAACTGTCTCTACAAACTAGTTATCTTAAAATAAAAACTTTCATTAGAATAAGAATGCAATGTAGCCTGTATGCTTGAAAATTTCACAGTAAAATGCTGGGGAAAAAGGAATGCAACTGTAGCAATGCAATCAAGTTCAAGTTCCCCAAGATCACTACTAAGATGGGATTTCTCTCAATACAAGAAACACTGTAGATTACCAATACAGCATATTTAACTCACCGTTTGCTTCTGGAGGCCATCTGTTTTGTCCTCAGCATTGTCCTCTTTATCTGTGTTGCCTCTAAATAAAAGAAAAAGAAAAAAAAAAGACATATCACCTGAGAGTTATGTTATAATCAGGATACTTTCTAAAAAAATACCAAATCACTGATGAACAAAAGAGTATTAGTAGATCCTTTCCTCCACAGGTACTCAAAACTTAGTTTTCTCCCTCTCTTTAGAGAGAACTCAAGAGACACTGAGAAGGGGAGAAATCATCGCCAGCCATCATGACCCTGCACAAGAAAATTCACTCAACACAGACTGCAGCACTAGGTTCTAGCCTCATGATCTAATCGGGCAAGTTCAACAACAATACTACTGCCTATCAAGAGTGATTTGGGAGCCAGCCAGTGGCATGGTGGGTAAGGAGGCTGGATCTTACAAGGCCGACTGTGCAGCTGAAATCCTGGACCCCATGGCTTGGAAACCACAGGGACAAGTGTGCTTAGATGCACAAAATCCCAAGAGTAGAATGTAGACGGACTGTGGTACAGTCATTCTCACTAGGGGGTGCTTTCTCCTTTCCCGCTCTCTCTTTCTCTCTTCTCTGTCTCTCTCCAACAAGTACACATATCCTACAGCAAATTAAAAACAAATAAAAGAGTGATTTGAATATGTGGCTTAGACTCCAGAGACTGAAGACCGTACAAACCAAGCTCAAGCTGATGTGCCAATCCCTGGCCTTAGTAGGATGAACCTGACCCTCCTAGTTTTGGGAAAGGCTTTTTTTTTTTTTGATGAGAGGCCATGCCGCAATCCCTTCTCCTCCATTCTCCTCTCGGGATCTTGGGCATGCATGCACACACGCCTGGTGTTAGTTTAAGCCACTGGGTCTGGGACTTGAACCACGGTTGACTACATGGGAGTCCAGTGACACAGCCATTATGCTAACTGCTGGTCTCTAGAATACAATTTTAAAAAAATTGCCAGAAGGGAGACCAGCAGATGGTGTATTGGTTACATTGCTGGACTCTCAAGTAGTCGACCATGGATCGAGTCCCAGACTCAGTGGTTTACAACTCATACTGGGTGTACATGTGTGCAAGCTGAAGATCCTGAGAGGAGAAAGGAGGAAAAGGGATCAGCATGGCCATCCCCTCTGGGCCATCACCCCAGGTGAGGTGATTTCTCACTTTCTGTCTCTCCATCTCTGTCTCTCTGGAGAGTGCATGTACCCTATAGCAAAAATCTCTCAAAATAAAATTGCCAGCAGGTGAGTGCGTTCCCCCAGGGGGGTGGGGGGGAGAAAAATGCTCCCCCAATGGGGCATGATCACGTCAAAATCCTTTGTCCTCAATTTCTCCATTTTGTTGGGATTTTGGGCACATAGGCACACACGGCTAGTGTGTTTCTTAAGCTGCCAGGGCTGGGACTTGAACTGCAGTCAGTCATGAGACATATGACTCCCCTAAGTCACTAGGCTATGGGACTGGCCTTGAATGCATCTTTATTATTTGTCCATGGGAAACACCTTTAAGGCAGAGAGTATTATGGCAGCTAAGTGTTCACCAAGGGTTAAGGACAGATGGAAAATGCATTTCATACTTTCTTAGCCTGAGCAGATGGTTACGGGATCCTGGCAGTGTTATACTTTCATGTCCAGGTCTGTCCACAGCCCTAGGCAATGCCAACAAATTTTCCTCTTTTGAGGATGCCTGCTAAAAATATGAGGGGTTCAAGCCAAGAGCTTATCAAACACAAGCTGAGATAAATGTTGTGTTCTCTAAATACGTATGTATGGCTTAGAGAGCTATAGTTTTTAGCTGTTAATTTAGCTTTCCTGTGAATGTACACATTTGAGGGCTAAGCCAACAGTAAATTAAACTCATTAAACTCATCCAAGTGGGGGATGCTTCTATACTTTTGCACACAACCCATGGACAGGCTGAAATACCAAGGCTGTCAAGCGGCAGCTCCTAAATCCATTTTACTTATGGACCAGGCAATCCTTAACTAATACTAGAATTTTTTTTTTTTATTAAGAATTATTTAATTAATTTTATTATTATTTTTAAAAAATTTGACCAGAGAGACAGAGAGAAAGCAAGCTGCCAGGTGCAGGACTTGAACTGCAGTCAACCAAGTGAGAGTCTAATGCCTTAACCACCATGCAACCTGCCGGCCCCTGATATTGGAATTTCATCTGAGAAACTTCAAGGTCAGAAAACCTATACCTGATATTTACTTTAGCTTTCTGCCAAGTAAGAGAGGTCTAAATTCTTCCTGAAAAATTCAACTCAACAAGAATCAAACCTGATTAAAAAGCTGGGCAAGAGGGTGGACAGCCTGGGAACCTGGTATTATGTTCAAAGTGCTTGGAAGTCAAAGCACAAGTCTGAAGCCCAGCAGGTATAACCAAAGTGGCAATTCTGAAAGATGGTGGCAGTGTGGCAAGCTCACGCACCCTATAGGGAAACCTCTCCAAAAAAAAAAAAGATGGTGGCAGTGTGACGAGGCTTAAGGGGGGTGGCCAGACCCTGAGAGTGAGACATGAAGAGTGTTGGATGCATGTGGTCACAGATTAGTGGCAGGGCATGTCCCATCGGAGTTGGCCCATGAGACTTCTTACCTTTCAGGAATGTCCGAGGTCCCATCTGTAACACCCTGTTCTGCAGAAAGAGACTTTTCGTCTGGCATCCCGACCTTCTCCAAGAAGCAGAGTGCTGGGTCTGCTCGCATGGCATTGTACCTCTCATAACCTGATCAAGAGTAACGAGAGTTAGGACCAGCAGTTAGTGTAATGGCTATGTCGCTGGACTCCCACGTAGTCGACCGTGGTTCGAGTCCCAGACCCGGTGGCTTAAATTCATGCCGGGCGCGTGTGTGTGCGTACCCAAGATCCCGAGAGGAGAATGGAGGAGAAGGGATTGCGGCATGGCCATCCCCCCTGGGGGGGTGATTTCTCACTTTCTGTCTCTCTGTCTGTCTGGCGAGCGCACGTACCCTCTAGCAAAAACCTCTTAAAAAAAAAAGAGTAATGAGAGTTGTCATGACTCCTATCGGAATGCACAAAATCTACTGCAGGCACAGTCATTTTGTTTTCCTTATTAAGTAAAAAAAACATAACAAACGAACAACAATATTTACTTAGGATTAATCAGATCCTAAAGACTTCTGGTCAGGGAAAGATTCTGGAGCTGAATCTCTCAGGCACCTCTCAGCGAGCTTGACCAAAACCAAAAGTTTAACCAAAAGTTTAACGTAAACACTCATTGTCCACAAAGAGACACAAGATACGATACAATTCTCACCTGCCTGCTGATGTGGGCAGCAAGGGGAATTAGAGAGTTGGTTTGCAACTTCTTCCACTCACACCCCTCCTCCCACAGCTCCGACAGCTCCTTAGGCGCTGAATGGGCCTTGTTTTCTACAGCTAGGAAAGCTGACCATGAAGAGGATTACTACAGTTGTCTATGGAACTAGAAGAGACCTGTTGCCTCTGTATTCACAAATTCGGGGTGAAATTCTAATTCACGCTGGCTGGGGCTTTCAAATTGCTGCTCACTCCATCCCCAAAATTGACAACAGATGGGACATTCTGACCCATAAGAGGGGTATCAAAAGGGAGGTAAAGGAATGAAAAAAAAGTTCTCTTAATTTGATAAAAGTCTATGTCTGAGACTCTATTATTTTATCCAATCTACCTAATGGAATCTATTTTTTTTAAATTTAAAAGAATTACTTACTTAATTTCATTTGTTATTATTGTTATTTTTTAATTTGGCCCACCAAAGACAGAGAGAGAGAGAAAGAGAAAATGAGAGAAAAAGCCATGAGGTCCAGGACTCAAACCACGGTGGACCATGTGGTAATCTAGTACCTTTAACCACCATGTCACCTGCCGCCAGCCTCTGGAATCTATTTTTAAATGTATGCTCACTTTTAAAAAATGTTTTTCTCCCGAGAAAGACAGGAAGAGAGGCAGGCAACCCCAATAGGGGCTTCAGCTGCAAACAGCTACCCATCCCCCCACTCCCCTACCGGCTCAGCCAGCCTGGATTGTGGGCACATGCCTACTGTGTGTAAGGAGCCTTAAGGTGTGAACTGGGCCCTTCCCAGGTAGGTCCAGGAAAGCAGAGTGTGGCATTACTGCTACATAGTCACCTGGCCCTTCAACCTAATGGAATCTTGTAGTATGAGATATTATTTGACAATGTAAAGGATCCAAATTTATTGCTGTACCAAACTATCTTGGGGGAAACTCCTTCATGATCATAAAAACCCTTTTGATGGTGACCCTAACAAAGTCAGTCTCTAGCTTGGTAGTATGCCCACTGCAGGTGATGGAAGAGCTGAATGTAAATGAGAATCAGTCTGGCTGTGAAGATTTACCTGACTGTAATTGCTGGGCGTTTTCTTCCTACCTGGGTTTGTGCTCTCCCATCACTACTAATGCGGCTCTATCTGTTTTTTTTTTTTTTTTTTTTTTTTTTTTTTTTTTTTTTTGGGGGTTTTTTTTGAAAAAGGGGGGG